TTTTCCTGCCTCTGCCTCTCGTTGGAACCCTAATGACTTCATCAGGAAGGAGACAACAGCTGTGGGCCCAGGCAGAGCCTTTGCATCAGGCCTCGGGAAGAGTTGCAATCCATACTGTCCATCAGATGATGCAAACGCTATCACTGCAGTAAGACTCTAACTGAGCTAACGCATTACTTTTCTCACCACTATGACAAAATGCCTGGCGGAAATAATCTAAGAGAAAAGAGGTTTGCTTAGCTCTCAAGTTCTGAGGGATTTCAGTCCATCACATAAGAGACGCATCAGTCTGTGGCAGCGGGAGCATGCGGCGGCAGCTTGTTCACATGGCTACTGAACGGAAGGCAGACCTACAGCGTGGGTAGGCCTGATTTTCAAAGACACACCCCATCCCTTAGCCAGGCTCCAGCTGCTAGAGGTTCCACAGGCTTCAAAATAGTCACAAACTGGAGAGCAATTATTCAAGACATGAACACGTGGAGGAAATTTCAGAGTCAGACTAGAGCAGCCAACCAGAGCCAAGAGGTTTAGTATTCCCACGACCACGAGTGAGAAACCACTGCCAGCGGTCTCTGGGTGTTAGGGGATGAAACCCAAGGCCACCACATGTCAGGAAGGAGCTTTACCATTGAGCCACATCCCCAGCCTTTCAAAATCCCTAACTGCTTTAGGAAACCCGAAGCTAAGGACAAGATACCACATTCAGCCTTGGATTGTCAGATGGTAGTCCTTCAGGAAGTGGGGTGGGCCTTGCTGGGGAATCATATTTCTATATATCCAAATTCTAGGAATTGAGTACAGAAAATCAGGACAGGAATCAGACAAAAGACAGGGAGCTTCCTGATACCATTAAGCTACAAACCATGAGCTGCTTCTCACTCTAACTACACGGTGCAGGGCTGTACTGGACACCAGCCCAGACTGAGTTCCAAAACTTTGTACCCAGAAAAAAATTCTGGGCAACAGGTGCTAAGCACAGACAGGAGCACTATATAGTTTCTTCGTTCAACTCATCTCTCTATCCTATGCCCAGGGCTGCAGGGAGGGACCGGCCCACATCCTGGGTTACCCCCAGTGGGCTCTCAGCTCTCTGTTGGCCTCTGGGGCACAAAGGGGAATATTTTGGTGGTAATCTTCAGGTGGGAGAGCTGGGCCTGCAGGCCTGCAGAGCATTGCTAGCTAGTCTTTTTCTTGGCTTAAGGAGACAATGGGCCCTCTCACAACTGTCATTAGACTCAGCGGAATCCAGATACCCTCCTGACCTTGCTGAACGCTTGCAGGGACAAGTGCAGTGCTGATATGTTTGTGTTTAAATGACATTTATTTAATCTGACTTCTGTATTGTTGAGTGGAGGTGCTGGGCCAGCCAGGGCTGAGCCTAAGCCCAGGATGTCTGTCTGTTGAGCTCTGTGCAGCTTTCTCTAGCTCCCTAAAACCACCTACTCCCCTCTCCACATCACCCTCCTGTGTCCCTGGCTTTCAACCTGGGTGATGCCTTTCCATAGATCCTGCCTTAGTTTGGGGACTCAGTATTTGCACAAGTTGGATGCCTTTATACCTTTCCATTATTTTTATATTATGTATAGATGTTTTGCTAGCATGTGCATGCCTGGTGCCCACAGAAGCCAGAGAGGGCATTAGTTTCCCTGCGCCTGGAGTTATAGATGGCTGGGAGCTGCCAAGTGGGTGCTGGGAATCCAATCTGGGAAGTCTGGAAGAGCAGGCAGTGCTCTTAACTGCTGAGCCATCTCTCCAGACCCTTCAGTTTTAATTCTGTGCATTCATTGTATATATTAAAAATAAAGGTTAGACCATACTGTGGTCACGCCTCTATTACCCTCTCTCGTACCCTCTCCCCTTCCACTGGTCCTTTCCTCTTTCTATTGTCCCCCTTATACTCTTATGTCTTTTAATAAAATCTAGATTCCAAATACCAGAGAAAATGTGTGATATTTGTATGACCCTGTCTTGTTTAATATGACGAGCCAACCATTTTAAAGATTTATTTTTATGTGTATGAGCATTTTTCCTGCATGAAATATGTGCACCATATGTGTGCCTGGTGCCTACATAAATCAGAAGAGGGTGTCGGATCCCCTGGAACTAAAATTACAGATGGTTGTGAGCCTCCATGTGAGCGCTGGGAACCAAACCCGGGTCCCTGCAAGAGCAGAAGTGCTCTTAACTACTTGCCATCCCACCCACCTCATGATTTTGTTCTTTATGCTGGCTAAAGTGTGGTGGAACACGAATTTTTTATGTCATCTTCATAGATCTGCATGATGGGCATTATTCTCAGTTATCAGATGGCAAAATCAAGAGAAATCCAGAGACTGGCTGAGGCTCCCATGGACACCAGGGGCAGAGTAGGAAGTGACTTCAGGTCTTCTAATTCCCATTATGGCCCTGGCACTCTCAATGATACATCTCTAATGGTGAAACTTAGGTATGAAGACAAGGAAGATGTTTGGGGTCAGAAGGATCCTGAATAGTGTTTTGGGAGTGTTTTCCAAGTATGAGGTTTAATACAAACACACAGAGGGATCCAACTATGTTGACAACACAAGAACTTCTGCCACCTCTTGCACTCAGGGCCAGACAATGCAGTCTCTCGTTGTGACAGCTCATCTTCAGTGTCAACTTGGCTGGATTTAGGATCACCATGAAAACATACATGTCTGTGAGGATGTAAATGAGAAGACCCACCTGAATGTGGATGGCACCTGGGCTGGGATCCTGGACCAAATTAAAAAGAGAACGCTGAGCACCAACGTTCATTCTCTATGATTCCTGACTACAAACACACCCTCACATTTACCACCATGCCTGGCCTGCCACGATGTACTGCACCCCCAAACTGTGAGCCCAAATGATCCCTTCCTTCCTTGAGGTGCTTTCTCTAGGGAACTAATGCACACATCTATCAGTGCAAAGAATTAGTCCCCGCCTGTCCAGGTTGAGTGTGATGAGGGGTGAATGAGAATGCTTCTCCCCAGATGATCTAATTAGCCCCCGGGACTCATCCCCCATCTAAACCCCTTCAGCCACTCTGTGCCCTCTGACCATGCTCCATCTGCAGCCAGACATCTCACCGGAGGCTGAGGCTAAACACCTCTATTTGGGCTTAAGACCTCAGAAGCTCTATTCTTCCTGCATGGAAGTTTGGGCTCTTAAGCTGCTTTGTGAAGCTGTACAGAGAGGGGTCTGTCCCTCCAGACAACCCCCTACTGAACTCAGACACTCCCTTATTGGCAATTCCTAGTTACTGTCAACTATTACTATTAACTCTTAACTGATTAACCATTCCTTTATTAGCTTCAATAGTATCTCCTCTAGAAGGGCTTCCACTGGGCAAGTTGAGAGTCATTGCCTGACCCCCATAGTCATCCCGAACCCTGAGAATACCATTACTAGTATGGAAGTGCCATCATAAGTGGCCCCATTAGATGGCTGGCTCTGTGGGCAACTGTCATCTCTGTGACATGATACCCCTTGTAGTAGGTGCTGGGGGTTAAGTTTGATTTCATGTCTGTGAGTGACTTGGCATTTTGTCTGTGCTGCCCCTGATCGGGCTTCTGAGGTCTGATAGCCTTGTCAATGGGTACCAGGTCTGTTTAGCTATTGCTCCTGAGTTGGCTTTCTTTTCCTTCCCTGGGTACAGATGGGAGGCTGGTCTCCCACATCATAGGCTAATGGGGGTCCCTAGAGTGATCTAAGTTATCCCCTCCCATGAACAGAAGAGCTAGGACCCATCCTCTTGATTCCAGACCTGTCATTAGAAGACTCCTGAAGGTCCCTGACTACTCTGCCTTGGCTCATTTGGCCAAAGTATTAGCAAAGGGGTTACCAAGCCCACTGCCTATGAACTGACCTGGCAGATACCAGCAAATGTGGCCACATCCTGGGGGTGGGTATGGGACAAATAGATGAGAAGTGGCTTCCTTGCCAATTCCTATGACCCAGTCGACTCTCAACAGTTGAGAGGTTACCTGACCTCTTGTTCTGCATAAGTCTGGGAGGTTCACAGGAAGCCATTCTAGCTGGACCTTTGGGCTTCATCCAAAACTCGAGATAAAGTACTGGACATGTTGGAAGGAAGCCAATGCAGGTCGATGCTTTGGGACAATCTGGTGTCAACCTGACCACTGCCTTGAGGGAGGGAGACACCGTTACACATCTGCAGGGGTTTGGAGCTGCCCCGCCTCCATCTCAGCCTCTAGACTCCTGCATCTGCTCATCCCATCTCTGCCACCTCACTGAAGACGATGGCACTCAGTGGCCCAGAGAAAAGAGAACTCTGGGCTGCCCACATCTGCATTTTCTCACTTTCTAAGAAAGCCTCAGAGCCAGAACCCAACTGAGACAGCAGGAGACTCCCACATCAGGGAACCATTTTGAGGCTCACAGGATTGGCTGACATGCCTGCCAATCAAGTTATGCTTCTGCTCCCCCCCATGACTGTCCTCACAGACCCTTGTTTCCAGGCTTTCTTGGGGACTGTCTGGAGCTACATGGAAGGATGTTTGCCTGGGCCAAATGACACCCTAAGGTCCCCACACTCCTGGAAAAGACACCAGGCCCAAAGGAACCTTCAGGAACAAAAGAGAGACTGGGGCAAGGGTGTACCTATCCTGATAGCCTCCCCCTACAGTACCAACCTGTTTCTCCCTCTGCCCCTATCTGACCACAGGACCAGCCTTATGGGTAACCAGTGAGACGGAATGACAGCCACTCATGCAGAAGGCTTGGGTCACTGGAAACCCCTGATCAGTCCTGCAGCAGTCACCACACAGGTGTATGTGTTAGGATTCTCCAGGCCTCCACAGGGGAGACAGGGATCCATCCACTCTGGCAAATCTGAAACCCAGACCACAAGAAAGAGATGAGGTCCTCTAGCAGGGGACTGTCTGGTCTTCCTCTGGGTCCCTCCATCAACAGCTACATGAAACAGGTCCTGGTCATGATTCAGGGAAGAAAACACACCACCAAGTGACAGCCTGTTTGTGCTTTTGACACATTATCAGTTTTTATTCAAAAACATGCTAAAAACATGGTGTTCATTAAAGCAGGGCCTGGGATGGAGGAGATGCAGACAAGGCATTGCAAGCAGAAAGTGCATTCGAAACCAATAAGCGTGCACTCCTGGCTCTCGGGCCACCCAGGGACAGCAAGGCAAGTGGAGGTCCGAAGGCCTGACTCCGCAGAGTACCCACTCAGGGAGAGGAGGCCAGGACCCCACCCTCATGGAGGAGGGAAGGGAAAAGAGAACAGGAACATGAGAGGGGACATCAGACCTAGGGGCCGAGGGGCAAAGAACAGAACCCAAGCACCTGGCACCCAGCTCCCCACCCTGTGCCATGTCCCTGCTAGTTAGCACCTCCACCAGTGGGTGGGCAGGGGGTCAGAGAGGAGGGGACAACAATTCCATCCACTTGAAGAGCCTGGAGGCTTAGCCACTCAGTTCTAAGTCAGGCCAGAACATGTGCAAGGGGGAGAGCTGAGGAGCTGGCCCAGGCTGGCGGAGAGACAGGGTGACACTATTCCAGCTCAAAGAGTGTAGAGGCACAAGGAGACTTGCACCCTGACACCTGTCAGTCAACCGAGAGTAGTTTCCTGACCCTGCCCACCGAGCCCTCTTCCAGTCAGCTGCGGAGAAATGCCACAGCTGTCAGGCATTTCCTTGAAGTCACGTGCAAACCAAGAGGACTTTCCCAGTCAGGTCTACAGATGGCTTGTGTGGGACCTGGAGGGAACAGCTCTGCCTTAGGCAAGGGAGGCGCAGGTGAGGGACGTCTCAAGGCAGGATTGTCCACAGCAAGCTCACAGCCAAGAGGGTCAGAGGATAGCTGAGCCTCCTCCCAAGGCCTCGCTTGGTGTGGTCATCTAGTGTATGGGGGCCATCCCCGAGTCAATCAAGGGGTCAGGACACCCACCCAGTGCTCGGAGGCCTCTGCCCATGCATACTCTGTAGATGACTACACGGCCGCACGCACACAGCTAAAAAGTAAGAAGGCTTTTGGGACTTGTGATCTGGCTCTGCTGAACAGACAGTTGAGGTGGGCTGGTGAGGGTGGCGGATTCAGCTATGGCTTCGGGGTCCAGCACCACCCTGAAGCACTCTAGAGACAGGAGGCTAAATGTTTCCTGGTGTGCTGGGGGATATACTGTTGATATTAATGGAAGTTAAAAATTCCGTTGATAGGTCTAAACACACCCACCCACACCACCCACACAAACTCATTATGCAGCAGGAGTCACATTTTTTTTTCTGATTGTTTAATGGGTCTACCTGAACTCTGTATCTTGGGGCCCCCAGGGAGGTGGCTGTCATTCCCTTAACGACACCACAATTCCATCTCCTGGAACTGGCAACCTCTCTGTCCAATTTGCTCAGAGCTCCCTACGATCCTCTCTCATTCCCAAAACTTGAATCTTGAACACAATGAAAGTTCCACGCCCCTGGTCCTGCCTTGTCTTTTATTCAAGATAGTCAGAGAGGTTATAGGTCGCTGGATGGTGTAGCTAGGTGGGGAAGAGCTGGCCTGGTGGGAAATAGTGGCAAGGAGTGAAACGGCCTGAGAAAAGCTGCTAGCACATGAAGCCTGGAGAGTGAGTGGCACTCTGAATCCCCGTGGCTGCTGGGTCACTCCCTTGCACAGCCTCGCCTTTACTCTGCTCACGGAAGGGCACTCTAGGCATCGGTGCGCAGGGCTGCTGCCACAGGTGGGAATATCGTCTGCCTCCTTCTCCTCTGCCCGGCACGGGGCATCCAGAACGGGGGCCTTCTCCCCAGTACTGCTGTGGGAACAGGAGCCTGACTTCTCAGAGTTTCTGAATCTCATCTCTTTGGGGTTACCTGGGCTGTGATGCCTGCCACCCAATGTGGACAGCGATGGATCCTAAGGAGGGAGGGCCCTGAGACCCACACAGCCCTCTCCCTTCCCCTCAGCAGGGCAGTCAGCAACTGAGTGAGTCTGGGATTGGCCACAGATGCCAACTCTGCCTTCCCTCCTGGTAGTCCTGAGACTGCTTGTGTGGGCAGCTGAACAAATCTGCTTCCCCTGCCCAGAGCAGGGTCAGCAGAGTGGTATCTGAACCAGAGGAATCCATAGCAGGAATGTGTGACAGTGGCCAGCTGGGATGCAAGACGTGTGCAGGTCAGGAGGGGAGCCCGCAGGGGACTGAGCGGCAGGAAGGAAATGCCACGAACTGTTCTGACTGCCGCCCCCAGCAAAGCATTTCATTACCCCGGTCCTAAGCATCCCCTTCTGATGTGGCCTCCCCATCTCGGGCACCACCCTATCACCCCTGAGTAGGAGGCCCCGCCATGATTTATCTCACACCTGCCTCTTCTGGCCCTATCCATGGTCGCCAGGCTTGGCAGGGACGCATACCACAGCTGTGCCCTCTCTCTCGAGATGAGTTCTGGGGGAAAGCCTGGCATTTCTCACCCTAGGGTCTCATGAGTGTCCCACGGTGGTGTGTACTCTTCGAAAGTGGATGGGGGTCCTTTCTCCCTACCCCTCCCCACCCATGGGAAAAGGAAACTCAAACTGTTATGGAAATCAACACAGTAAAAAGTTATAAATCAGAAGGCTAACCCTAAACTTATCTGAGAGATAATATTCCTGAATAACCATAATCAGAGTAAAATAAAAAAGTTACACTATAGTATAAAAACCCGGGCAGGTTCTCCATGGGGCCTGACCTGGTGTGCCGCACCGCACCCTGGCCGGCTCTCTGGCTGGGCAGCCACGGGTGGCAGTGGCCTTGATGGGGCAGACACTCCACCCCACACAGGGACAAGTGTCAGTGTGAGGAAGGGCAGGGGCAGAAGCCCATCAATGCTGGGGTTTCCTCCTTGACACCCCGCCCACCCTGGCGTCTTTGGCAAATATGCAGGTGCAGGAATCCAGGCGCCCAAGCCCTGAGGTCTCTGTGTGATGCCTCCTCCCTGGGCCTCTGCCCTCCAAAAGGTCCAAGGCCAAGGAAGTGGGCAGGGGAGGGCAGGCCGGCACGTGGGGCAGGCTGGCCGTCAGAGGGCAGACAGGAGGCACAGACTCAGGTCCTCTCCCCTGGCACATACAAGTGTCCTGGTGGGGCCAGGCGCGGCCAAACGCTCAGGCATCATACTTTTTACCCGTCCGGTGGATGTGCTGGAACAGAGTCATGGAAAAGGCCATTCCCAAGATCTGGAAGATAGGGAGAGGGACTTTAAAGGGACGCTCTTGTGGCCTGGGGTCTGACCTCAGTTTCGCAAGCTTGGGGCTGCTCTAGAGAACCTCATGTAAAAGTGTGCATAGCCCAGTTCGCTGGAAACAGAGAAAGGAGAGTACGGGAGGCCAGCCTGGAGACCCAGCCTGGAACCGCATAAACGGGGTGTACCTCAGCCCTGTGAGTCACATGTGCAGAAGGCCATCAATCCCCAGGCTGCGCACGGGCTAGCACGCCAGAGGCCGGGGGAGAAGGCAGAGTGCACACAGGACCTGACCCTCCTCAGTGGTGAGGAGCTGAGATAGGGGAGCAAAGAAGGAAGCGGGGTGTAGGAGTCATTAAAACGTAGGCCACTACTTCCTGTTTGGCTCTAGAATACATGAGGCGACTTCTCGGGACGTTAAGTGTCTTGAACAACATTAAATCTCATTTATGCTCCTGAACCAGAATCCTGGAAGCATTCTGTGGGGACACAGAGCTGCAGGCAGAGGCCCTGGTGGCTTCACCCAAGGTGCCGCATGTCTTATACATAAAGCTGGTGACCCGGGGACACTGCATACTTTGGCTCTCATGGAGAGCACGTTGGGTGACACTGGCTTCCTTCCACTAGTCCGGGGCCCCCACTTAGCACTGAGTACCACCTTGTTCACGGCCTGTGACCTCACTCAGACTCTGCAGCGTGGCGATGGCTTCACTGCTGGGCCTGGACACACTAGGCTGTGTAAACACCAGGTCACCTCTGCCCAGGCTCCCATCCCGCCCAGAGGCTGGTGTGCCCAGAGCCCCCTCACCTGCATGATGAGGATGCACATTCCCACTGTGCCCAGCACATGCTTGTTGTCATCAAACCACAGCTTGACCTTCTCATAGCATCCCTGGGGAGTGAACCACGGGTTAAGGTCCTGGCACAATGCTGAGCTCCCAGTGGCCTCGCCCTATCTTTTTTACCTTAGCCCCTGTCTGTACTCTTAATTTCAGTACCTTAGGCCCTGGGTCCCACCACCCCTAATATCAGCCTCCAACCCCCAGGCTGCACCTGTAAGCCCAGATGCATAGCCTCAACCCATCTAATCCCTCACCTTCTGACTCCCAACTGTGGGGCCAGCACACACACACGTGTCCATGTCCACACACAGCCTCTGGCCTCCCTCCAGTGTGCCCTCTCCCCATCCCACGGTGAAGCAATTCCCGTCACTCCTGCAGCCAGGCACATCCAGTACACAGGCTCCTGGCATCGGTGAGCCCCGAAGCACTGCTCCCCACCTCACCGTTTTCCACAAGGGGGTGGTGGTGTTGCGCCCACATCCCTGGGAGTTCTCCATGCAGCAGCGGTCAGGAACTATGTTCTCCCCCAGCACTGGGTACCAGTCTGTGTAGTCAGTGACTCCACAACACCGCATCTGTGGGAAGGAAGAAAGGGAGGCTGGATATGCTGGCCCCATCCTCTCAGGCCTTCCTCTTTCAGGCCAACCCCACCAAAGCAGCCACCCGAGAGCAGGGACGAGGAAAACGAGCTTCTTTTTGTCCCCCTCTTTGAGCTGCAGCAAGGCCCCCAGAAGTAGTAAGTGACTCTTCTTTCCTAGACCATCAGGGTGGGGGACGGGGGCAATGCTGCTGCCCCTCAGGGCTGGGCAGGAAGTGGGGCAGGAGAGCCCAGCCCAGTACTTGCCCTCCCTAGCTGATCGCCAGCCCACCCGTCCGCCATTCCCTCCTAGGGTCTACGTGGGGTTCCTATGGGAGTGTCAGAGCCTGTCTGTCTCTGAGCCAACAGGACCTGGTGATTCCTGTCGCTCATCACAAAGCTTAACCACTCGCTACAGTTCCCTAGGCCGTCCACTCCTGCATCCGGGTCTTGTTGCCTCCTGAGCTCACCTCTCACCCCTCCCCAGTACTATCCCATGGTGCTGCCTGACTCTCTGAGTTTAGGCACATGCCCTAGGGGAGCGGTTCCCCCAGACAGCCCGGGTGGCCCGTGGCTTGTCCCGCCCCATGCCGTGCAGGGGCCCGCACTGCACCTCGGCCTGGATGATATTCCAGGCGTTCTTGAGTCCCACGTTGTTCTCCGTGTTGTACAGCAGCAGCCCTTCTTTGAGGTCCTGCTTGGCGTTCTCGTTCACCTAGCAGAGCAGGGGCGACACCACAAGTTGGCTGGGACCAGGCCACTGGCCTTCCTCCCTAGCCTGTACCAGGCCAGCTGGTGGCACAGTGTCTAGGTGGGGAGCGGGAGTGGCTGGAGCCACGTCAGTCTCCTGCATGCCCCTGTGCATATTCTGCTAGCCAGTGTCTCCTGGCCCGCTCCGTCCCCAGGCCGTGACCTTCCACGCTGATCCCCTGCAGGGTTACCTTGTCCATGTAGACAAAGAAGAGGATGAGCAGGATCAGCTCCGCCAGCAGAATGGCCAGCAGCACAATGAAGAACTGAAAGTAAGTTCAAACACGGCTTCAGGATAGCGGCAATGGCCGGGGTGGGCGCTAACAGAGTGGAGGGGAGTCAAGGGACGGGCAGGGCTTCCAGGTCTGGGAGGGCTCACCTACTCCTAAGCCAACCCAGACAGACCACAAGTCAGAGTGAGAGGGACAGCTAGGGCTAGCAACAGGACATTGTAGAAGCAATTTTAGGGAGCCCTGGGAAGCAATGAAGGGACATGGGGTCCGACTTACACTGAGGAGCAAACACTTGTTTTCCTTGATGGCCCCAAGGCAGCCCAGGAAGCCTGTCACCATGACAATGGTGCCTATGGCGATGACAAGGTTGGCTGCAGACAGCGAGGGGAAACTGGGGGAGAAGGTGGCAAAGTTGCCTTGGGACACGGAGAGCCAGATGCCCACTCCAAGCAGTCCACAGCCACAGAGCTGGAGAGAGAAGAAATCAGTTAGACCAGCATAGCTCTTGCATTCATCTCGTAGAACGCCCCAAAACCCCACCCCTGACACTGAATACAAAACCATTATTACAAAGCAGGTACTGTCACAGATCCAAAGCCTATGACATGCCCACTTTGCCACTGCATGCCTCAGTTTCCCCTCCTGCAAATGGGATGAGGCAGCTTCATGAACCTCGCAAGGTCTCTCTGAAGATCAAGTTCAATGAGACAAAGGAAAAACAGAAAAATGCACAAATGTGCAACTCAGGTCGTTCTGCTGGGCAGAGAAGACCCCCATGCTCAGAATGGAGGCTGGGGGCAGGGTATGACTGGAGAAGGAAGGGCTGGTCTGTGGGAGAGAACCCAGGGCACTGGCTCTCAGAGCTGACTTCAGGGGGTATTCCCACTGCCCTGAACAGTAGGGCCACATACCCACTCTTATCCGAAGTCTAGGAAGTGACTTCATGGCTAAGGGGCAGGCCACGGGAATTCATGCTGGCTTCCTGTGTTGGTGAATCGTCATTGTCATCTTTGTGGGAGCCACAGTGGAAACACACTTCTGGGTATGTCTGTGAGATTATTTCCAGAAAGCCTTCACTGAGGTGGGAAGACCCCTTTCCCCCGAATGTGGACGGTACCATCCCTGTCTGAGGTTAATAAACAGAAAGGAGCAGGGCATCAACGGCCTTCTCTCTCTGTTCCCTGACTATAGCGCACAATGTGATCAGCTGCCTCCAAGCTCTGAGTGCCACGCCTCCGCCTTGATGGGCTGCCCCTCAATCTGTGAGCCACAGTAAAACCCTGCAATGGCTTTTGTCAGGTATTTCCTCAAAGCGGTATGACACGCCTCACCATCCACTGAACTAAGCCAACCGCGTGCGTGACGGACCTGTAAACTGACCCTCTTCACCAGCACCCCTGGAGCTACAACTAAAATTGCCATCTTCCCGTGGGAAGACGACCCTTTCACAGCTGCAGATCTCCACACCCACACTGCTTTATGCTCCGTTTAACTGACACTCTCTGCTCCCTCCGAGCTTCGGGGAAGTGTTTTGAGTCTGGGGAGTCAATCCGTCAGTCAGCCTCTATGTACTGCGTACCCTACAGCACAGTGTCCTGAACCAGAAAAGCTTCAGCCAGGCCAGAGACCTGCCTTCCAGGGGCCTCCATTCTGGCTCAATGGGAGCTGTAAGAATGCTGCTTCTACTGGTATACAGTGGTGCCAACTAATGGCTACAGGCATTTGGAGGAGGCGATCACTGTCCTGGCCAGAGACACCCGTTGGAGGGAGCAGTCACCAAAGGCTGCGTGGATGGGAGGCAGGTGAAGAAGGAATCCTCCGTGCACAGTGAAAGGGTGGGTGGTGAGGACTTGAGGGTCACAGTGCAAATGTCCCACTCAGCCCTGCATGCCCTGGCCTGTGACCTTCCAGACCGCAGGGGTGAGACACCTTCCCATGGACTCATGCGGCAGCTATTCTCAGCAGCAACTCGACCGCACCAACAATTAAAAGTCAAGAGTCTGGGTACACCTGTGAGGGGCTCTCTTGACTGAATTGTTTGAAGTTTGAAGACTCTTTCAATCCGGATCTTTTGAGGCAGGAAGATCTACCTTAAAACCTGGGCCCCACCTTCTGGTGGCGGCCTGTGTACCCATATGAAGGACATGGGACAGGGAGCACTTGGTCTTTGCCTGCTTGCCCGCCATACTTCTGGCCGGTCCACTCTTTAGTGATGTTCCAGCCTGCTTCTTCCGGATTCTGGGGCATACTGAAGACCACCCGCATATACTAAAGACACCCAGCCTCAACTGCTGCATTCTTAGACTTTCCATGGGGGAGAAAGTCATTGTTGGAATAGTTGGACCATGGCCTATAAATCCTCGTGTGTGTGTGTGTGTGTGTGTGTGTGTGTGTGTGTGTGTGTGTGTGTGTGTGTGTGTTCTGTAAGTTCTGTTTCTCTAGAGAACCCTGACTAATAAAGCTAACAAACACGGAGCACCGTTTGTTGGAAGGCATTTCAACAACAGCTACTGGGTGCTGGAGCGATGCTGAAGGTCTGCCTCTCTGAAGTGAGTGCAGCTCCCGCTCTCCAGCTGCTCTCACTGTGGAGAACGGACACACACAGACAAGGCAATCCATGCTCTGGCTCTCAAGGTGAGGGGAAAGGGCATCGGCTGCTGGGAGCTGCATTTCTTTTGTTCATACAGCCCACAGACTCTAACCAGGCACATGGTTGTCAAAGGCCAGGCTAAGGAGAAAGCTGTGAAGAGTCCTGGCCAAAGCCTGCCTAGATGGAAAGGAGATTCTCATGGGCATGTACACACACACACACACACACACACACACACACACACACACACACACACACACACACTCAACCAATGCAAGCACAGATAAAATAAAAAGACGAGTGTGCCGTATAAATATGCAACAAATGTTCAGAAAAAAGGATACATCAAGTTAAAAGGCCTCAAGTTAGGACCAAGCCTGTCTGCCGAGGAGGGGTTAGCTACTGCCACAGAATGACAGTAGTGACATGTGGCAGAGCATAAAAGAGGCAATGCAGCCAGGGGACAGACAGAACGGGACCTGGAAGGTAGGAAAACATGGGTGTTCTGCCCAAGGGCTGAGCGTGACATGATCCAACAGATGTTTTGGGCAACCATGACAGCTGCTGTTCCCAGAAGAGGCCACTGAAGGCAAGACATGGCTAGCACATGCAAGGACTACTACAATGACTTGGGGAGAGCTGGTGGCCACACGTCAGGTGACCATGCAGGATAATGAGACATAATCCAGTGGGAGACCGGCAGAGTTGAAAGTGAGCTGGGCTTAAGAACTGAGAAGAATTCTGATAAGTGGGAAAACAGAAAGGTGGCCCAGACTATACACACACACACACACACACACACACACACACACACACACACACACACACACACACACACACACACGCATGCATGCATACGTGCACGTAAGTGCATACACACGCTATTACTAAATCATAGATGACTCAAGGGTCTGTGGATGACCAGAGCTAGGTCACATAATGGCTTTTGCACCAGAGCAACCTCAAGGGTTGCCCAGGTCAAGGATCCTAGGATTCTGGTCTTCACAGGCCCAGAATCACCCTCAAAGCCTTAGAGAGAATGGGTGCATGCCAATGCCCCTGTGACCACTAGGTGGTGCTCCTGTCTGGTTCAGAAGCTTGTTGGGTTGGCCTGCGATGCCCTAAACTTGCATCCAGCCTGTCACCCTGACTTTCTTCAATCAGAGTCAGTTTTCTGTGCTGCCATCTCAATTTTTCTTTCATTAGTCATACCCTGGAAAATTCATGATTTTGAACCAAAGATTTATGGCTCTAGAAATAGGACCCTGGAATGAGTAACAGAAAACCCTCCAGGGCAGGTATTTGTTTCAGATGGAAGAGCCTGGCCTGGGGACGCCTGGGATTGCAAGATGCCCCCGCCACCCTGCTGCTGCAGGCCTCCATGGTCCCTATGCCCCAGGCCTGGGATCCCCAAGGCAGAGCCCTCTCCATCCTGCTCATCGGGAGCAGGCCTGCTATGGTCACTTCTATTCTTGGGGAGCTCCTATGGTGACCGGGAGCATATTCCGAGGAAACCTCAGCAGTTCAGAACCTCCCAGGACCATGTTTCTCACGACTGGTCCTCAGACTTTAATAAAGTCACACAGGTCAGCTCAGGCCTTCTTCTAGCCAGAGGATAAGAGCTGCATCCCACACTCGCACTCGTTTTACTCCCCCCCAGCTCCACCAGGCTGAGATCCAGGCAGTCCCGGCACATCAGAACCTGAGCCTGCCTCCTCCCAAACGCCCCCCACCCATACCCATTCCCCGCCTCTCACCAGGTCCCACCAGCAGTTCTCAGACAACCTGCTGTGCCACAGGGTGTGAACAGCCCTGGGGTCTCCTGCTGACATGAACATTCCACTAGTGACTACAGAGGACCCAGCCCCACCTGAGGCTCTAGGCAAGGAGAAAACAAAGCCGGGACTTTCGTCTTACAGCTAATGACACCGAGAGAGACGGGAGAGACATTGGACCAGGCCCCATCCTCTGGATTCAAGGGCTGCTCTTTCTGTTTCTGCTACTCCCTAGGAGACCTGACTGCCGAGTTAACAAGCACTAAGACATCCTGCCTCAGGCCCACCCGTACTAGGCCTCTGTCTAGGCCCTCTATACTACCCCTCTGTCTAGGCCCCCTATAGAAAGCTGCCTGGATCCCTTTTCCAAACGCCTCTTTCCTCACATGGGTCTGTGTGTCCTTAAGATTCTGTAGCTCTCTGAGGCAAGACTCCCTTTAACTGTGCGGGTCTGCTCACTTCTAGCCCAGGCCTAGCCCAGCTTCGGGGTGCTGCCTTCACCCACCAGGCCTGTGAATCTCAGGTAGGAGAGGTCCTGCTCGCTAGGGACATTAGACACTTCAGTGGGAGAGGACACAGGAAATGCTCCCAGCATGTAGAGCACAGAGGCCAAGGGACACTGTTGGGCAAGCTACAGTGCTCAGGACAGGCCACCACAAGGAACATTTAGCCCCTGACACCAAAGAGGCTGGAAAACCCGGAATTGAGCCCCCTCCCCAGGCCAGGCACCAGTTAACTCCTTAAGAACACTTGCACTACAGAGAGCTCCTGCCTCCCCCACCCTGACCTGGAAAAGGCTGGGGAAATGGCGCATACTCTCTGAGAGGCTTCAAGCTGGGGCAGAAGCAGGTCAGAGCTCAGATCTAGCAGATGGCTGCGGGCAAGAGAGAGGGGTGACTGAAGACGCGGCTTACTGTGGAGTTAGAGAACAATGCCGGCCCTGGGTAGGTAGGAGGACATGAAGACAGGAAACCGGCTCTGAAGTCAGAGCAGGGCCATGGCCAGGATGAGGCAGTGGAAGGGCAGGGAGCCACCCCATCCCCATGGTAGGAACCCTTCAGGAAGCGTAAGACCTTGGTGACCAAGCCAAAGCTGGGTGCCAG